ATAGTGTTCTGATCCTGATCTGTTTCTGTATTTGGACCTTTGAGCTTGCCCGCCCCTGTCTTGATTAGTCTGCTTGCCTGTCTTCGGACTCCTGTAGGATTCTTCTGTGGACTGGACCTGGATCTGCCTCTGGACTTCTACCTGTGGATTATCCTGCCTTCCTTCGTCAGCTCTGCAGCCTTCCAGGCTTCTGCATCTGGAACTCTCCGGGAGCGTCTGCAGCGTCTGTTCAGCAGACTGGCTGGAATCATCCTTGTTCTCTGGGTACGGACTGAACTGTCAAACCAGATTAGTGACTCAGGCGTTCATACTCATCCTCCGTCAGATTATCACAGTTACTAACCTGTGTTTCTCTCCAATAGATGATCCTGCTTCTGATCACCACTGCAGAATCTTTGTCATTGTTTGAAAAAAAATGCTTTTTAAGTATTTCACTGTCCATCTTGCTTGAATTCTGTGTCCTACCTTCTGAGTCAGTACAAAATGATTGACTTACAGTATTTGCTGCACCAACTTAGCAGTTTACTCTGAATTTAAACAAAAAACTGTAATTCTGCAGCTCAATTTGGTTAATTCAATCCACTTGGTCTCCACAACTTTTTCATTTGTGTATTGTTTTAATTTTTTTTCCTGGTGGTAGATCCTCTTACACTGTGAAGCCCTTGGTTGGGAGCCATCTCCCCCTCATCAAAACATCCCAAGTGACCTGCTTCTCCATCACTCAATCACAGATTTTTTTGGAGAGTGGGAGGGAGTACCTTGTAAATGCCACATTTGTGTGGGAAAAACATACAAGCACCCTGCAAAAAAAAAAAAAAAAAGGCAATGGCAGGGTTTTCAACCTAGAACCACCTTCCTGAGAACCTATAGTACTAACAACTGCCTCACTGTGCTACTTTTATTTTAGCAAATATTTTTGTAATGAGTCCAATTATTAGCATAATTACAAAAAAAAAAAAACATGTAATCAATAAAACACTTAATAAGGAGACAGAAAGCAGACACGTCCCGTATTTATGGTTCATGGTGAAATCTTTATTCGACTTGTGTCCACAAACCAGCATAGGTTTTCATGTCAAGAACGAGTTCAGAACTATTTCACGCCTGGAAGTTAAGCAGTGCATGTGGTTAGCCCTCACAAATGACCTTGAAGGGATGGTTCCCGTTTTTTTCCATGCTGCTGTTGTAATCTGCTCAGTGATGACCTCATAGGGTGATTAGAGTATATTGTAATGTTCTCAGCCTCACACTTTACTGCAGCTATGCTAACTGGTGCGTATCAGAGAATCTGTGCAAGTTCGTTAACGTGGAAACACTGACGCTTGTACAACCGCCTCAGAGCAGCTGCTAAAAGTTAAGACTGTGGTGTTTCTGCTGTGTGGCTTTGCATTAAAGTGAGTACTTTCACATACAAACACATTTCTCCGTTTTGGAAAGTTTCTTAAAGGCGCAACGCGGCACTAAAAGAATGCAAAATGTCAATGCGCTTAGCTGCTTCCTTGGAAGACTGTGGATATGTGTTAGAATTGTGAATCCTGTTTTTTTACGAGTCTGGGGTTCTGCATCATTTCCAAAGCAAATTTCAGATCCCAGTAATGGATTATAAGCACAAACAGTTTTGCAGAGAATGTAGCATGCATCTGTTAAAGGCTGTCCATTGCATCAGTGGACTGCATTTCGGCTGCAACTGTGTTGGATCAGATAGAGTTCTTCCTATCTCGTATCTTGGCTTTTGCGGCATATTAGATTGCTAAAACAATAGCAGTTGGATTATCAAGCCTCCCTCGGTAATAAGTCATGCCATTTGTGGTATTATAAATTGTAAAAGGTAAGGAGGGAGAGAGGTAAGGGTTAAGAGTGAACAGATAAATAAGTTTAGGAGTTTAAGAAAGGTTTCAAATCGTGAGAAGGTAAGGTAAGGAAAACAAAGAAAAACAGTCTGAACTAGCCAGTTATAAATCTTTCATTTCTTTTTAGTTCATAGCACTATTCTCTAAGTCACAGTCTCATGCTTATATAAACTTCAACACATTCATCTTTTAAATTTGCTCAGTTAGAACCCAAAACTTCCTCAGGGTGTGAAGGCATCTGGTGGGAGGGTCGGGATTAAAAAGCAGGAGATGGCCTTGGCTGTGGATTCAGTTCCCAGATCTCTCTATTAAACATGTCCCTTAAACCTGCTTTAATCTCCAACTGAGGGACCTCATACATCCACTGCCTCGATGACTTGAAAGCATGTTTCTTCCATTCCACGTGATTTTCTTCCCAGTTTCTCTGGTCTACTGAGCTCCTCTCCAAGTCCCACTGTTTCTCGTCTTTCGTCCTGTCCCGAGGCACATGGATGATCTTGGAAGTTTCCCACAGACTCGGCCGATAAGCTTCCGCTTGACAACATGCTACTTAAGCTGGAATGTCTGGCCCCTCTAGGATGGGTTTCAATTTCCACGCACACTTCAATATTTGTTCCTTCCATGCTGTGAATTCAGATAGCAGCATTGGTCTCAGCTTGCTTAACTTGGTGACATCTATTTAAAGGAAGAATACATACCTTAAAGTAGGCGCTTGAGTTTCCTCTAGTTTGCTGTCAGGCACGCTCACAACCTCACAATCAGACTGGCTGTTCTGCTGGGTGTATCCATGCCGTTTCATCACTTCATCCAATCCTGCGTATCTATCTAAGTCTGGGGGTACTGTGCTTGTACTTGGTAGGACCCCCACTTCCTGTACACTGACTCTGACTTCCTGGAGGCTGGTGTCACTGAGGGCTGGGTTGTTTTGGCCAGTCCAGTGATCACTGACTACATGAGAGAATAGAAGATCTATAAGAGAAGTTGAAACTACATCAGACTGGGCAGGGATTATGGGATAGAAATAAAAACTGTATTAAGGCCAGAACACAGAATCCAATTTTGCGTGCGATCTTACAGAAAATCTTGTCGGAGGAGGTCATGGCGTTAAAGGAATAGTACACCCAAAACATTATTAGCCTTCATTTTCTACTCACCCCCATGCTGAACAACACTCTGGAGTACTTTTTTGATATCTCAAATGCATCTGGAGATCTG